TAGTTTGTGATGTTATATAGTTTTTAAAATTCCTAAAGAGAAAAAGTCATTGAGCTTACAGTTTAGAAATGCATATGACCTCATAACAGCTTCAGAAGAAAGGGGAAATTGTTGATTTAGGAAAGGAATCCAATAAGAACAGCAGCTCTCTTAATATGTAGGAGGATTAAAAATGTTTATTTATGCACATTTGTTCTATTTGGACATTATGTGTTATCAGTATATTGCAGCTGTTTCACTATACTAGTAACTGGTATTAGTTAAAAAATAGACACACAGAATTGTTATTTTGATTTGAAAATGCTAAGAATTATTCCCAATAAATTGTCCTGTGCTTTCCTCCATATCCGTACATTTGAATCCATACCTCAGATTCATAGATTAATGGGGTTTCCATACAGCACTCCCTCTACCTTGAAGCCTTCTTTGGATCTTTAAATACTTTTCATATTCATGCATATACCACGTGTTGATCACATGCTGTGGACTTCACAAGGAGCCAGTCCAAGGTGGCAGAAGGGAGTATCTGGTGGGTGCTGTGCGTCAGTGAAAGCTGTTCACAGAGATCTCGCAGGCCTGTTGAGCTTCCTGCAAGCTGTGCAGAGAGTTCCAAGGATGCATCTTTGATGAGTTGTCACTCATGTTGGGGTGGGCCTTTTGTTAGTGCAGCTGCTCTTGAGTCATCCCCACTCCTGTAAACAGGCCCTCATCCATGCTCTTCTTAGTAACCCCAGTAGAAACTCATTGGTTCACCTAGCTGGACTTTGTACAGTCATTACTTTGGTTCATCATGGGCTCCCTCTCTGGAGTAGATATACGGGTGCAGCATCTCCCCCAAAAAAGTCTGTCACAGCAGAAGCCTATGTTGGCAAATCCTTTGGTGTCCACATCGGTGCCAGCATTTCTTATTGTTTCTTTACTCAACGACTGACGTTCTGACTAGAGTGAAATGAAATCTCAGTGCAGTTTTGATTTGCATCCCTCTGAAAGTTGGAGAGGTTGAACTTATTTTCATATGTTTATTGGCCACTTGCACATCCCTTTTTATGAACTATCTGTTAGTCAGTCCATCTATTGATTGCATTGTTTATTGTCATGTTGTTCAGGTTTTTTTTTCAGTTCTTTGTATAGTCTAGATATTAATCTGCTATCAAACATAGAGCTAGCAAAGATTTTATCTCATTCTATAAGCTGTCTCTCAACTGTTTCCTTTGTTGTCTAGCTTTTAAAGTAATAAAAGATATATAAGTAAAATAAAATATTTGATACTAAAAAGAAAACTTAAAGCCACTTCTCCACCTTTTCTGTCTTGTCCTACAAGTCTTTGTGACTAACCCAGGATCTAAAGCCTTAGAATGGATCAGTGACATCATAATTTGCCTTAAACCAAGAGTTTGGTCAAGTGATGCTACTATTTTGATTTTTAAGACCCAAACCTGCTGACTCTACCAATGAGTCCTCAGACCATTTCTGGAATTTTTAATACCTGGTGGTATTACAGAAAAACTATCTTGTCTAGGTAATGTCTAAGGATTCTACTTGGTACTTCACCAAGTTCACCCTTTTAAGCACGGAGCCTGGTGCTTAATCCAGACTCATAAGTAAAATATGAATATCATAGAATCTAAGCCATTTAGATGCTTTTGGTACACACTGAAATCATTCGCATAAAGTGCTCAGCCCAGATGAAGGGCTCAATAAATGTTAGCTATTAATATAACTACAAAAGACAGTTAGCCAGGCATGGTAACTACTGGCTATAATTCTAGTGCTCGGGAGATTGAGGCAACAGACTGGGCTTAGTAGTGAGTTCCAGGACAGCCTGGTCTCAAAAACAACCAAACAAAACAGATACTTGAGTTTCTCATCATTTTGCTGAAGAACTCCAAACTGGTGAGAAGGGGGTCTGCTCCTATACCAGGTTACTCTACACTTTGGAAAAGAGCAAATGTCAAGGGGAACTCCAAAAGGAGAAAAGAAGCCAGACCCTGAAAATGACAGACACATCAGCTTAACATTGCTAGCACCAGCTGATTCCCAAACAGATCACCAAATGATGGATTTATGATCCTCAGAAAATTAAGAACTAACAAGTGCAATCCAATAGCTTCAGGAACTACAAATTACACTGAGCTAATGTAGGAGAAAGGATGGTTATCAAAGCAAGGACACAGCAGGGGTGCACCTGAACTCAGTGCAGCTTTGTCTCCTGAACATCAGGAGATTTTCAGGAACAAAATTCAAGAACTTGGTGTAGACTACACACCTCTCAGAGGGTTTTCTTGTTACTAACCCAAAGTAAGGTATTTGGTAATTATTTCCAGAAAGAGGCACAGAGCCTCTTTCTATCCTTCACGGGTAGAGACAAACAAGGATGAGGGAACCGAAGCAACCACTACCAGCTAGAAATGACACTGTCTGTAATCTCCTCCTTCCCTACTTCAACATAGCCACAACGTAGCTATTTTTCCTCAACTGTCAAATGGAAAACACATCCGAAAGGGATGAAATAAGTTAGCTACCTCAGTCCATAGCAGCTGAATGATATTCTTGAGGGTCATACCCTAGTCTATATCTCCAGAATCTGGAGTAATGTGAGTTATCAAAACCACAATTCTTGGCAAGCAATCTTCAGACCCTGCCCTGGAAAAGTGAGCAATACATTTATACTCTCATGCCTCTGGAAACAGAAATTTGGTTAATATGACAGATACTGATGATTGTAAAAAAAGGGAGGTGCGTAAAGAAACCTAGACACCCTATTCGGCAGGAAGGGTGCTGTGTGGCGCATGCTGCCTTTGTCTTCATTTGATGGTAAAAGGAGAGGAGACTGGGGTGTGAGAAACCTCACATCTTCATCTGTGGGGAAATGCACAACAATTATAATGTCACTTCCTGGATCCTCTCTGACTGACCAGCTGGCTACCTAATCCTCCTCCTGCACACACACACACATACACACACACACACACACACACACACACACACACACACACATACAAGTTTGAAGTCTAGATGGTTGGTCTTATCTGCCACACACTAGAGAGGTTCAGATCAGTTGATTTATAGAGTCATGCATAAAAAGCAAAGCTGAGTAGGCTCCTGGAATACTAATGTTAGAAGGGGAGTTTAGAGATCTAGGCCCACATTTCCATTTTACAGGTAGAGATTCTGAAACACAGAGAGGTTGAGTAACTACTTGTCCAAATCCCCCAAGAAGCGGGTTTTAGTCAGGAGGAGAGATTGGTTCTCCTGATAGTGTTGTGCTGTTCTGCTGTGCCTGAGGGGCAAGAAAGTGACTCCAGGTAACACATCTCTTCTCTCTGTCTCTGTCTCTCTCACACAGGCACACCCATGCACATAGCACCAACAAAATTGAATAAGTTCATGACAATGACATGCTAATGTCACTGATACGAGTGAGATTATTAACACCCTATGCCAAAAAATAGTTGAATACTTCTCAAAAATACAATGCTAGAAAAAAAATTAAGTTAATAGACTTCAGGGATATAATAATGTGATGAGCAAAGGTCCAGAGACAAACTTTCTTTGCTCAGCAAAAGTTCCCTTAGCAGATTGTGCAGTTTATTCCCTAAATGCAGACTAGAATAACAAAGTGATTAATAAGGTCTGCTTTCTCCTGATAAACTGAACCAAAACAAGAAAAGGTGCCCCAAGTAAACTGAATAAAGGAAAACAAGGTTTGGGAAGTCAAAAAGATTTCGGATATTCTACAACAATGTCCTGACCATCCACATAGCAATGCTCTGGGGAGACTGCAGGTGAGTTCTGGATCTTCTTCAACCTGAAAGTATCTCTTAAAGCTGTTTCTGAGTGAGTAGAGGACAGGGGGATGTTTGGATGCTAGGATCTTAGGATGTTTGCTAGGATATCAAAGGAGTCAGGCACCAGAGGGAAGTTACTCTGGATGACTGATGAGAACATACACGCTCAGAAACCCAATGGGCAGTCAGTGAATACTGACAGTGGCTAGTAAAAGTCTAAGAAACCAGGCCAGGTTATGTGGGTCTTAAGTGAGGAAAGATGGGGAGAGAGCACATAAAATGTATACCTGCAGACCAGGGATTTGGGAATGAGACAGAAATCTCTCCAGGGCTCTCAGTCCCTTCCTTTCTTCCTTCTGAACAGAATGGCCTTACAGCTCAGGGATTCTCTAGGTAGCACACAGGGTGTACTAAGAGCAGGTACCCCTTGGACCTGCTAAAACATGAGGAAGAGGAGAAGGGGAGGGAGGGGAGGAGCGCTTACTCTTGAGTGTTCCTATGAAAGACCCTAAGCTTAGCATTCCACTATCTGTTTTCTCCTTCAGTTCTCCCTACATTCAAGCAATGTCGTCTGCAGGGTTTCCTTTAGTGTCTTGATCAAAGTCAAAAGCTAAGCAATTATAATACTAAAATTTGAACCCATATCTGTCGAACTTCTGAGTCTATATTCACTGAGATGACAAGTCAGGTGTATGTTTGAGGCCATGAATCATTAGCCTGTGTTTACCACCAAAGTACGGTTCTCTGCTTCCTTTCCACTCAAGGCTCAAGAAACATAGGTAGTAGCAAAGAGAAGAGTGCCTTAGAAGATTAAAACAAGACATTGTGACACAGATGGAACTTTTGAAAGTGCTTGGTTTTTAAAGTTAGCTCTCCTGGGTGTTCTTTTTAATATGCATGTCACCATTGATAAGGTGTCAGCAGGAAGGAATCATATAATACTTATGGCAGACATCTGAAGAACATAATTGCCCCAGCTGACATGTGTGACTGCTCTTTCATTATCATGTCACAAGGACAGTTCTGCTTATAAATTGTTTGCACGGAAAATAAAATAGGAAGCACTTGCTTAAAGTTTATTATAGCCTTTTAGAGCAACATAATTATCATTATAAAATGTTCTTCCTTATTGTGAATATTCTACTTGTTCTTCAGTGGATTTATTTTAAGATCAGAAAAGAAAATGTATTTTGAAAGATGTTAAGTACAGAAGACGTGACGAGTTGAGTGTTCACCAGATTGTCTGGAGTCCATGAGTACACAGGGCCCACTGTGCAGATTAAGAGCATCTTAGCATGTTGACATGATGCAATTCCCCTAGGATGTCAAGGAATGAAATTAATCTTTAGGACAAGCACCAATCTGCAGTAAAATTCAAAGTAAAAATGGAATGGGATTTACTCCAGTCAGAACTAAGCCTACTCTAACTTCCCAGTAAAACCAGCCAAGTCAGGAAGTGGCTTTTATACTCATTAAAGTAAAAGACCCTTGGAATATACAACTCCCCACATCAGACAGGGACTCTTTAATATGAGGTAATTTCAGATTACAGTTGTCCGCAGTATCTGAGTAGGGGGCTTTTACTTGGACCCCCAAGAGCTATCAAATTCTGTGGATGTTCACAGTATTTGAATATAGGCTACATACTTCCTCCTGTATAGTTTAAATAACCCCTAGATTAATTATTATACCTAATATGATATGTAAATAGCTTCATACTACATTACATCAAGGATAATGATAAGAAACAATATGCACAAGTTCAATACAAATGTAATTTTCCCAATGTTTTTGAAAGTCAGCTAAATCTGAGAGTGCAGGGCCCACTGAAACAGAGGATCGACTATGTACTTACAATCTTGCACAACTGTCTTATCCAGCACATTGTTTTATAGATGGACTAACTAAGCTTTGAGGTAATGTTGGCCTTGTCTGTGGTTAAACTACTAAGATACAGAACCATGAAACAGATTCAGTGCTTCCTACTCCAGGTCTAATAATCTTTCATCTAGTGATTATGACTCACCAGCTGCTTAAACGAATAACATGGAAAGCACAGGGCATCAGGGAAAAGGTGTCTTTGGTGACGCTCACCTTTGTTCTGTTCTGTTCCCTATAATCTATAAAATAAGATGGAAAAGCATGTGAGGATCCTGTGGACAGGCATCATGGTGGTGTGTACAGCACTGCCTGCCTTCCACTGCTCAGAACTATTAGACGCCCTCACCTAGTACCCGAGAAGGTTAGAGAAAAAACACCATGTCCCTGAAATGTCCTCATCCTTGGTTTCCATGATATTTTTTCTTGTTTTTCTCTCATTCCTGGACTTGGAGTTCATTTATTAAAGGGAAAAGTAGATCTGCTTTAGGAAGAACAGTGTGACCTACCACAAGTTTATTTAGTGAATATTACACTAACAACTCTGAAGGGTAACTTTAAACAAAAACTAATTTCTATAATATCCATTTTGAGGGAATTGCAAATCAGAGTGCATCCGATTTTCCACTAATAATTGGAAACACAAAATATCATTATGGTTCCCTGGTTAAAGTTCATGGAAGCCAGGTGATAAGTATAGCTTTTCTCTGACTTTTTCAGAGAAGTCCTCAAATGTATAATTGGGTAGATACACCTAGTTAACTGGTAACTAGAAGAATCTTCACGTGTCTTCTAATTTGAGAAATCAAGGCCACTGTGGTAGGAAAGACCAAGTCAAAGCCTCCCAAACTTCCCAAGTCTTAGCCAAAATACATCAGACAGAATGCTATATCCCAAGAGGAACTTGAGAGGTGAAAACTGCCTTGTAAAACTTAAAATAAGCAGGCGTCATGTTTTCTTTCCTATCTCCTTTCAGTGTTTTGGCATTTAAAAAGCCCAGATGAAACATGGCAGATGGCACTAGTCTGCCAAAAATTTAACTGGATGAGAGTGCCAAATACAGATGGTATTTCCAGATGTGGTATCTATCTGTACTAGAGAAAACATCATGGTCTTCAGGCACTTGATATGCAGCTATTAATCTGGTGAATGTATTCTTCTTTATTCCATTCAAGAAAGAGAATTTAAAAGTTACTTAATTTCACATGGCTGAGACAGAGTTACACTTTGCTACCTGCCCAAGGATCAAGATAACTGTGCTATTCTCTTTCAAATCAGAGTCAATAGCAACCCCTATCATCTTGTTATTACATATTAGTGCTCCTTGGTGTTGATGATATCATGCTAATTGGAATAATTTAATATCTATACTTTGAGCAGCCTAGAAAAATATGTCATATTGCAAGATTTAAAAAAAAAACTCTATAAAGATGCAGTGAACTCCCACAGTAGTGAGAATTAGGCAATTCAGTGTCCTGAAGGTAGCACTCAAGGGCGCTACCAGATTCAAAGTGGAAGAAGTGTTCTGTGAAGACAGAAAGGATTCTGTGGAACTTGTAGCTGTGACTACCATGTATTAGACCAGAAAATAGGAGAAGTCAAGAGGATCATGGGAGGAGCTAAGCTTGGTTCCATCAAATAGGAGCAGAGAAGAATATATTTGAACTCCATAAGATGCACTTGAGTACTTCTTTATGTGTCCATAGTAAAAAAAAAAAAAAAGTCCATATATAAAGTGGACAATTGTAGCAAAAATTGCTGAATAAGGGAATGAATTCACAGTTCAAACCCCTACAGCATGTCATCCCACAGGTCAACCAACTCTCAGCAGCTGAAGGGCTGACAGAATAAATGAAACTGATGGTAGAAATGGAAGATTGAAAATATTAAGAGGGATGTAATGGGGATTTTACTTTATTTCACTCAATCTCTTACCTTAAGACACGTAGACATTATAGGTAGCCACCATGAAAGGGACTTTATGACTGATTTGACTTGTAATTCTTCTCCCATGAAACATCGAAGAGAGAGAGAGAGAGACAGAGACAGAGACAGAAACAGACAGAGACAGAGACAAGAGAGAGAGAGGATATTCCCTGGGCTGGAGATATAGCTCAGTAGTAAAGGACTTGTCTAGCATGCATGTGGCCCTAGGTTCAATCCTCATTATGGAAAGAAGAAAGTATTGTCCTCATATTGCAGACAAAGCAAGTCCTTACCTATATGATGCAAGTGGGGAACTAACTACCTGAGTCACTGAAGAGTTACGCCCCAGTTCCCAGCACAGAGCTCCATCTGTCTCTGTCCATTGTTACCTAATTTGGACATTTGCATTTTGACAGTGTCTCATCTACTGTTCTTTGCTTTTTTACTTTCTTCTCAATGAGTGCTGTTCTTCCAAATCTGCTGTAGGACCCTAATTGGTGCCCACTCGCACAAATGCACAATAAAGAACATGGAGAAGTTAACGCTCCATGAAGCAAATCCTCCCACCGAAAGGAGACAGTAGTCAGTAGATTAATTCTCCCTCATGTTCTTCTTTACCACCTAGGGACAATTCTGAAGTGACCTGAACAATTTCTGAAAGATGTGGTGCCATGGTGTGAGAGCTTAATCTGAGTTCTCCCACCTTGCTTGTGACACTCACCTTGGTCCCTCCTTCAGACTGAGATGGACAGCAGAGAAGCCTTTTGTCTCAGGTTCTGTTTCCTTGGGAACTAAGAAGGAACAACAGCCATTGTTGTTTATTGTTATTAGCACTGAAGATTTGTTAATAACATTTCGATCATTCATGCACTTCCCTAAGTGCTTAGAAGTGACATCTAAACTCCAGCTGATACTAGTATTGTACTCTTAGGCATAGAAAACTTCTGTTTTATGAGAAAAGTGCAAGAGACCCCCAGAAGTACCTCAGTCTTCACTGGCTACTCTAACCTATAGCCGTCCTAGTCAACCCCACCCTGCCTTAATCAGAAACCCTTTTCTGGACTCTTTGGAGAAATTTGTGTGGCCATGTGGGATCAAGAGAAAGAACAGTTATAAAAGGATAAGGAAAACGTGGTATATACATACACAGTGGAGGTTTATTCCATCATAAAGAATAACAAAACTATGCCATTTGTGGGGGAAAGTGGATGAAATTAGAGATCATAATGACAAGTAAAATAAGCCAGATACAGAAAAGTAAATATTTCGTATTTTTTCCTATGATGCAGAAGCCAGATTCACCAGTGTGCTGGCTGTTTTTGTCAACATGACACAAACTGGAGACACCGGGGAAGAGGGAACATCAACTGAGGAATTTCCTCCATTGGATTGGCATTGGTCATGTCCATGAGGCATTTTCTTGATTGTTAATTGATGTAGGAGGGCCCAGCCTACTGTGGGTGGTCCTGTCCTTGAACAGGTAGACCTGAGCTTAAGAAAGGCAGCTGAGAAAGCCAGTAAGCAGAGTTCCTCTGTGCTCTCTGCTTCAGCTCCTGCATCCAGGTTCCTGCATTGAGCTCCTGCCCTGACTTCCCTCAGTGATGGATCTGGGAGTTATAAGGCGAAATAAACCTGTTCTTCCCCAAGTTGCTTTTGGTTATAGTGTTTATCAGTGCACCGGAGAAACAAACTAGACCAACAGGTACACACATCTGTACCTGACATCAAAGTAGGAGAGCTGAGTGTGGGACGAACAGGTGCTAATTAGAAGGAACAAGAGGGTAATGGGGGTGGGGGTGAATATGAGGGAAGTACAATGAAACACGTGTATGAAAACGTCATAACCTATTTCATGTTAACTAAAAAACTAATAATAAAAACAAGACTCATTAAAGTTGAGAAATGTGGCACTATCCCCAATGAATACCATTCCATTTACAACCCACACATAGCAACTTTTTGAGTGCAAGGATTGTTGGCAAGCACCTGATAGGAACAGACACAAAGTTCCTCTCACATTACCATGCATTTTCCTTTAATCATTTTCCTTGTCTATCTCAACAATGTTGGTGTCATAATCTACCTGCCTCTGGGACTAGCTTTTGCTATTTTAATTTTCTCTCACTATTTTCAAAATTAAAGGGGCTCTATTTTTATCCAAGACCTCACTTCCTCCCATTCACCAGATTACTAAGAATATAATCTATCGAAAAGGAACAAAACCTGCTTTCTCCGCCTGGCTGTCACTAGCTTCTGACCCCCGTCAGAAGGATTCAGGGCTGTTAATGGGCAACTTTGTGTATGCTGAAGTCTAGACAGGATGAGGTCCAAGGGTCTCAGCATGTACCACACAGTTCCTCACTAACTTCATCACTCTGCAGCTATGGTATCCATTTATTTATTATTATTGGATTTTGTTTGTTATTCTGTGTGAGTGTTTTTCCTGCATGTACGTAAGTGCATATGAGTCATGCAATACCAGTGGGGTCCAGAAAAGGGCATCAGATACCCTGGAACTGGAGTTAGGGAAGATTGCTAGCAGCTGTGTGAATGCTGGGAGCCAAACCTGGGTCCTCTGCAAGAGCAGGCAGTGCTCTCAACTGCTGAGCCATCTCTCCAGCCTGTTTGTTTGTTTTTGAGACGGTCTCACTATTAACCTAGGCCTATCTGAAATTCACTCTGACATTCAAACTGTCCTTGAATTTTCAACAATCCTCTTGCCTCAGTTTCCCAGATGCTGGGATTACAGGTGTGAGTCATCACACCCAGAAGTTATCCCTTTAGATAAAAGATTCCTACGCAAAGAATCTTATCATAGTAGACCCATCCAAAATAATGACTCCTGTAATTGTTCTTTAATATTTCAATCCTTGAAAAAGCTTTTTAGTATCTTCAGCTCTATTACTCTAAAACCAATAGTATTTCTCAGAAATTCTGCAGTTAGAAAAAAAATCTTAATTTTTCACTCATTTTTAAAACAGAGGCAAAATGGTATAGCAGTTAGAGCATGAGTTGAGGACTTACTTGGGACTGTACTACCTACTAGCAGGTGGTTGCAATTCAAGTTCTTTACTCCAGTTCTTTAAAGTTCTACAATAAAGGTTGAATAAAATAGTTTAGAAAATTTGTTTAACCAGGTTCCTGGGCCCTTGTATTCAGTAAGTGTTCAGTAAATATTAGTTGATTTTCATTATAAAATCTAGTTTCCTTATGTTACAAATTAAGAACCAGAGAGAAAATATGAACTAGTTAAGGTTGTGTATCTGCACACTGCCATAGACATAGGCAGGTTTCAAACAATAATCAATGGCACCCAGTGAACAAAATCTTAAAAAAAAAAAAAAAAAAAACACCTCATTCCTTAGCCTGTACCATAGGAAAATGCGTGGGTAGTCCAAACAAGGAAAAGCCAGCTATGTGTATTTAGCTTTCTCTCCTCTAGACACTGGCCAGAGACAAAGTAGCAAATAAAAATATGACTGAACTGTAGGTCTGTTCTCAAAACACAAACATTCATTTAAGAACAAAGAAGAAAGAATGGCACTTCCCATGAGCAGTCAGGGAAAGCTACTGGGCAAGACATCCCTGGAGAGATGAGGATCCTGGGTTCTGTTTGGGCAGCAAGGAGAGAAGGAAGCACAGGGCATGAGCAAAGTCCTGGAGAGAGCAATGTGCACAGATACTAGAGAGAGGTAGATTCAGGGATTTCACAGAGCTGTAATCTTTTTGTCACTTATGTCTTACTTGTACAACATATTTTTCAGAAGTGAAAAATACTTTTGGAACATTAAACACTATCATCAGTGAATGCAAGTGTACAAATAATCCAGAAACAAAATGCATTTACAAATGCAGCACTCAAGTGATGCCAGAAATATAGTCTCTCATCATCACTGAACATTTGAACATTTCCTTTAAAAATGTAATTGGCACATAATTGTACATATTTTAGAGTACATTGTGAAATTTCAATACGTATATATAATGTGTAATGATCAGCTCAAGATAACTGGCATATCCATCACCTCAAAGATTTATTATTTCTCTGTTGTTGGAGGACCCAGATTCCTCTTTACTTGCTTAAACATTTCTTTTAAAACCACCAATTTGCTTTATGACTTCCTCCTTTGGAAAGAAACCATTATTATAAAATATACTTCAGTCATCTTCTTAAAGTCCATCTCAATGGATATTGGGTCTTGGGGCAGAGAGGTTATGGAGAGTTAGGACCACAGAAACATTGTTACTGGGAACTAAAGCATGTGAAAGGAAAGAGACAGCTGATCAGAAGTACCAGACTGTGATCCACACCATCCAGCCTAAGCGGGTGCTTTTCAGGCACAGACTTGCTTAGGCCCAGGGGCCACTCTGGAGAAGGCCAGTACCTCAACTCAAATGCTAAGGTGATAGAAATATAGTCAACAGCTGGAAACTTTAAATGAGTGTTCCTTAATAAAAGCAGGGAGAGCTTTCTCAAAGAGGGCTACACCTGGCTCATTTCCATACTGGCGAGGTTCACTCCTTGTACCACATGTTCTTGGTTTCCCACTGCTCTTGTCCACATGTAGACAATTGAGCAAGGATCCACCATGTGGTATGCAAGCAGATCACCTGCCCCACCTCCTTCTGTAATTAAGGTTTGGATATATCTGCCAAGAAAGTTATTTTTCTTCTAACATGCTCATCTTTTAATACAAGGGCAAAAAGGTTTTAGAAGACAGGTAGGCATAGCTTATAGTTTTATGAGACTTTGGTTGATTCTCTTGGCAAGAATGTTCTTCTTAAAAATATTAGAGTTCCTTCTCTAATGCTACAGAGCTTACAGTCTCAGGAATAGGAGGCAGATCTCAGTGGGTCACTGGTAAATGGAACCACCCTTACTTCCATCCTTAGTTTCTGAACCTGTGTGCTCTTTCTTTTGGTGACATACCACCACACAGAGGCCTGTAATGGTGTTGGGTATTGCATCCTGGAGGGTCCCACTATGTCCCCAGACTATTCTCCGATCTTTGTTTCAGCTACATCTTCAGTAGAGTATTCCAACACTTTACTATGCTTCTGGATCGTGCGATGTGAGTTATACCATAGGTAAAGGCTGAAAAAGAGGCTATGATACACTTAAGGTCAGCCTGGGATACATGTAGGCTGCTTGTGCTCCCTGGTCTTTCTTTCCCTTCTAAATCCTAGCTGCACCACTAGTTAATGATAGTATATGGCTGGGTGAACTTGGTTTTCTGTCTTCATATTTCATCAGGACCTTACCCAATTTTATGGGTTCTGAAACCTTGGTCACTTGGTTCTCCATGACCATGAATTCTCTTTTTAAAGAGTAATCATCAGTTCAAGAGCTATGTTCAAAAGGTATTATTATCTAGTTTCAAACACTAATGGATTTGCATTTTTATACTCATAATGATAGAGTTTGCTGATCAAATAACCCATATGTTCCATCTTGTTTTGAGTCACATTAAAGATAGCAGCCTTTCCTGTCAATAAGATATGGGTTTAAATATCATCCCTACTGTGGAAATATTGTACCTGAAAAACTCCATTGTTAACAATATAATGGAGTTCTGTGATAGGCTCTACCATCATCAGACCTTGTCTACAAAGAAAAGCCAACAATGAAATTCATACTGATGCAGGGCAGTGTTCTGGGGGTAAATGGTATGTGTACTCTGGTCCTTCTCTTAGTCCTTCGGCAGACTTTCTGACAGAATATCCCCATTCCAGCATGCCCACTCTCTCAAGTCTGGTCCCTCCCTCCAGCATCTGAAGTAGCAGTTCTGCCAATGTCTACTTCATTCAGAATGTCCATCCTTTTCTATGAATTCTAGAAGCCACATTGGCAGTTTGTACCATTCCCTGAAGTCTTTGCCAAGGTTTCAAATCCTTTGTCTTAAGAATGTCTCCAAACCCAGGGTCGACACAGAAGAAACACTTCCTCCATGCTTCCACATGAAGCTAGCCATTGTCAAGCAGGACCTTTGACTTATCTTCACATAGGTGGAACTGGTAAAAGAAAGAAGCCAGGGGCTTCTCCCAAGCCCATGTTACCCCTGAAAAAAACCAGAGGGAACCATATTAGTCCAACAACCTACTGACAAATTATACATACATTATACTCATGACAAATTATACTCATCTCTACATGAGTCCATGTGTATAGCTAAAGGCTACATAACAAGAAACAATGCCAGACAGGAGATATGTTCCTTTGAGTTGTTGGCCAGGGTGGCCCAAAGGAATCCCAGACAGTAACCCAGCATAGAACTGGGAATATGAACAGCAGACCCCAATCTTACCTAAAGAATATTGACAACTGATTGCTGCTAGATGAGGAAGAGCTGATCTTCCTAAAACAAGGATCTCTAGATAGGCTGACTAGATTCAGCAGATGGACAAGCACTGGGGAATGGCTGGGGCGGGGGGGCGACAACACAGTGGACAGTAACAAGGATGAAAGAGTATATGGGCTCCAGTGGGGGGGCACTATGGAAGGGTGCCGTTTGGGAAGTGGGAATATAGATGAATAAGATTCTGTGGGATGTTCTGTATGATATACACAAAAAAATCAATTTTTTTTAAAAAAGACATATTTGAGGAGGAAGCATAAAAATTTACTTCATGTTAATTAGTAGAGGTGATAAACATTATCGTTGAAATCTACCTGGTGACTTTATATCCATACTCAGGTGCCAAGGATCTAAGTGTAGCCAACTATGACTAGTTATAATCAGTTACATAGAGATTAACGACACATGTGCAAACATCTAAGCATTAGTAGCATTAAAAATGTAGGAAACATTTTTAAATGAAATGGAGATCTTTAAAGGTTAAAAACTCATTCAATTTTATGTCTTACAGGGTTTATACTGAGTTCAATATTATATAACCATATTAATTCAACTGTGAATCTAAAAATTTACAGCAACTTTTGAAAGAGATATATCCTTACTCTGGAAATTGTTACTGAATATGTTAAAGCTTTAATGAAATGCTTCTTCTAATCATGTGGTTATTATATTTAAAATAATTTTAAAAAGAGAGAGACCAGAACAGGCACTAAAGGCAGGACCATGGAGACTGTTGCACAGGCTATGGAGGAATGCTGCTTGCTGGCTTGCTCCCCGTGGCTTGCTCAGATACAATTCCTAAACAGCCCAAGTCCACCTGCCTAAGGATGGTACCACTCACAGTGGGCTGGGCCTTCTTACATCAATTTCAGTTAAGAAAATATCGCACAGACATGTCCACAGGACAATCTGATCTGGGAAAATCAGTTGAGGTTCCTTCTTCTTGGGTTGACTCTGGTTTGTATTAAGTTGACAAAATCTAACCAGCAAAAATATAATGCTTTTCTTTACCAGTCCAACAGTTTCCCTAATTGGGTCATTTTGAAGCTTAATACAGGCCTACAAGCCAAGAGAATTGGAACAGTGGGATCTTTTGATGGGGTATGGTAGAGCTATTCCCTTGGAGAAGATACAGGTGTTGGTTATGTAGCTTGCAATGGCTTCATAATTGGAAGGGGAGAGGCAGCCTCTTACACTCTGAGAATTCAGAGAAGTACTGGGTGGCAGCCAACAAGTCCCCACACCCATATGTCAGAATTCCAGTTTCCTCATCCTAATCTTCTCATAATAGATCCCTTTCAGCTGCCTATCCAATTATCTTTGAATTCTAAGGCTCTATTTAGTCCTGAGTTTGGTCTTTATGCTGACAAGAGTGACCTGTTTGAAAGCTAACAAAGAGGACTCCTGATCTTAGTTTTCAATTTTTAACTGTCTAGATTTTCATTTCTCTTCTATCAGGCAATAATACAACTTAATGACAAGCAGCCAACTCTACTTTCCTTGTGTGAACTGTTTCCTCTTAACCTTTTCAAATGCCTAAAGCATTGTTTTGCAATATTCTTTCAATTCACCAGAAAATGTTTTGTAATTGGGCAGAAATCTCATGCCAGAGACTATTTCTACCCCATCCCATACCAACTGCAGTGGAGTTCTCATTGTTAGTGAGGCTTTGAGTAATCCAAGCTCAAATCCGCATCTCACCAGGAGTTTCCTCCAACCATTCCTGGAACCACTGTCAGTTGGGTCCTCTGGGAAACAAATATTGAGAAAGAATTAAGAACAGAAATTGTAGAAATATTTTAAAAAGAAATATTTTAAAATATTTTAATACCTGCTGTATTAGTTACTTTTATTGCTATGATAAAACATTGTGACACTCTATGGAAGTGATTTATAGAAGAGAAGTTCATTTTGGCTTATAGCTCCAGAGAGATAAGAGTCCGTCATGGCAGGGAGGCACAGCAGCAAGCAACAGCACGGCAGCAGGGGCAGCAAGTTGAGAGAGCACATCTCCATCTGCAAACACAAAGCAGAACGAACAGTCTCTGGGGGAAGAAGGGGATTTGGGGGAAGACTAAAAACTCAAAGCCCCATCCCAGCAACATACTTCCTCCAGCAATGTCACATCTCCTAAACCTCCCCAAACAGTATCACCAACTGGGGACCAAGTGTTCAGATTCCTAAGACTATAGAAGATATTTCTCATTCAAACCACCACACCTATGAGGGCAAAAAAAAAGTAGTGTTGGGTGGGGAAGATGGCAGACTGTATGCCTATGGACAAAGTTTCTACTATCCCAATGGGAATGTAAGATGCAACTGTCTAGGAGGACAATCTCAGCTCAGAGGCTAATGTGGCTTGAAGAAGAAAACCACCCAAACTAACGTTTTACATGTGCATTTATGTGAGAGTGAGTGTGTAGAGTCCAGAAGAGTGGAAAGGGGCCTGTGAGGGGGGAAAGGGTTCTCTAAAGGGGAGAGGAGACAGCAGAGCCCATGTGATACAAAACTGTAATAGAGAACAATAGGGAAAGAAAGGATTAAACAGGGGGCAAGGAGGGAGATTCTGGAGAGGAGGGAGAATGAAAAAACCACAAAGAAATCTGATACTTGATAAGCTAATCAAATTTTTTTATATTTTATGACTTTTATTTTATGTGTATGTGTGTGTTGCCTGCATGTAGGTAAGTGCACTTGTGTTGTGCAATGCCCGTGGAGGACAGAAGAGGCTGTCAGATCTCCTGGAACTGGAGTTACAGACAGTTGTTATCTTCCAATTTGGTGGTGGCATTCGAATTCGGGTCTTCTGCAAGAACAGTCAGTGTTCTAAAGTGCTGAGTCATCTCTCCAGCCCACTCAAAAATATTTTTTAAAGAGTTGGAGTGGAGGTACCTTGTACTGGTGAATAAAGCTGATCCCAGAAGCCATGGGTCACTAGACAGAAATCCCAGTGCTAGGGGTGAGCTACTTTTCTACAATTTGTTGGCCAGGGAGGCAACTGAACCCAAAAGAACACAGGCAATTGCCACTGCTTGAGGTTTTCTACCAGAACAAGACAGTAAGACTCCATTGCTGAAGATGCCACATGCCTTGGTAGTAGGACATAAAGAAATCAATCTGGAACTGGGCTGGAAGCTTCCTGCCGGCTGGCTAGCCCTCATAGTACTGAAAGGTACTATGCAGGCTTCTGAGGAATAGTTGACATCAACAGTCTTACTCAGCAATATAGGCTGGCCAGACAAAATGGCCTCACTGATACAATAGTGGTAAGTTACAGAGGGTAACCAACCACTTTCTAATTGGATTGATGTCTGTTTTGTAGGCAAGAATGCACATCTGGTGATATAAACCTGGTCAAAATCCAGTGGCTAGGAAGGTCAGAGGCCCTTGTAGAGAAGTGTTTCTGTTGTTTTCCTAAATGGTTACCATGTGTCTGTCAATTTGCCTTTTAAAGGTTTTATTTCTTTTTAATTTTATGTATGAGTGCTTTGCCTGAATATATGTAAGTGTGCCATGTGCATGCAGTGCCCACAGAGGTCAGAAGAAAGTGTCAGGTCCCCTAGAACTGGAGTTAAGGATGGTTGTTAGCCACCATGTAGGTGCTAGGAACCAAACCTGGGTCCTCTGTAAGAGCAGCCAGTGCCCTTAACTGCTGAGCCATCTCTAGGTCCTCAATTTGTCTTTAAATAACTGTCTATGCCCATAATATAGTGCTGCTGGCAGCCTTGATCAGAAAACCTTCTCTTTGCAATGGTCAGTAGGGCTTACAGAGACTTATAACCAAGTACAGAGAATAAATGGCCACTGAATGCCTAGCCATAGTTAGAATATGCACATCACATGCTCCAAGGCACAAGGAACACTGATGAAGGAGGAAAGAATGTAAGAGCTGGAAGAAGGTAGTGAGACAGGGAATGCCAAGACAGTCACATCCTTAGACCAGTGCAATTCCTTACTATGTGCAAAATATGCATCCTTACATTTACAGAAAAATATCCCAGTCACCACTCATCAAAGAAGCTTCTTTTGCACAAGTTGGAAACTATTACCAAGTACCACAAATGGTCACACACAGACATTGTCTATGAATTGCCCAGACCTAAGCAACACACCTACAATGCAACCTCTACACCTAAGGCACATGGAACAGAGAACTAATGAATCCTCAGTTCTCATTAATGAAGCTCCCTCATACAACAGAGGGCCAGGAACACAAGTGGCCAAAACATAGAGATTAAGAGTCTGCAGAATGCTGGTTCTTGGACAGGACTCCTATATTAATCTTCACCCACTCTGGGTTCAGGGCCCATTGAGAAAGAGGGGGCAGAAAGATTGTAAGAGCCAGGGAGGAGGTGCATGACCATATGGAAACAGAGTCCTTCAAGCTCCTAGGACCCTGCTCATATGATTCTATGACAGTTGTGTCAGCATACACAAGTCCCATGCCAACTCAGGCAGATAAAAAACCAGCATAGAACTGGGGAAATAAACAGCAGACCCCAATCTTAGCTGAAGAAATATTGACAACTGATTACTGCTGGGTGAGGAAGAGCTGATCTTCCTGAAACAAGGCACTCTAGATAGGCTGACTAGAGCTCAGCGGATGGACTTGCACTGGGGAACATCTAGTGACACTGACTTGATCCAGTGGGCCTTAACACGGATGACAGAATATATGGGTTCCAGTGGGGGAAGGAGTTGGGAGGGTGCTAGTGGGGACAGGGGTATAAAGAAGACTAAGATTATTTAAGATATTCTGTATGAAATACACAAAAATTCAATAAAAATCATTTTTTAAAAAATGAAATTAAATCATTTGTATGAAACAAGTTTCATACAAAACTCTCTCTCTCTCACACACACACACACATAAAAATTATTACTTTTTTCTATATGCCAAATTGGAATGGAGGGACAATGGAAATAAAGGAACTATTTAGGGATGTGGAAGGGGAAAACAGAAGACGGAGAAAACGAATACTAGATCAGGTAAATAGGACCAAAGTGCATTACATTCATTTATGGAGATATCATAACAAAACCCTTTACATAGTTAGTATACACTAATAAATAAGAGGAAAAATATATAAGAAAAAGAAAACACAACTCTCAAAATAGGCAGTGACCCCAGGGTTGTAGCAGAAGCAGCTGGAAGCTGGTGACATAATGTGTATACAACTAAGATAGCGTGGTCTAATTAAAAATAGTCGAGAACTTCAAGTTATGGGAAAGAATATTAAACCAGATGTGGGGTTCTGAAGAACAGGGGACCATCAGCAACCCACCAGATGCATACCCATGAACCCACCTCTAGAAATGCTGGTGTATTATTTATTGCTAGAAAAAGAGAATTGGGCTCTACTTCGGAGTAAAAGAGCATCAACATACTTGTGGACATCTTTTCAACTTCCACAGCCGCCCTTCAGCTATAAATTATTTATATTCCTCCCACACGCAAAATTGATTCACCTTCCAAGACCCCACAAAAATCTTATCTTTTATGTCAACAATTTGAAATTCAAAACCCTGGCATCAAAGTCAAGTCCAAGTATTCATGACCAAAATCTTTTTAATAGATAAATTGCTATGTAACAAAATGATAAACATTTACCATCCAAGTTTCTGTGGTGAGGAGTTTAGGAGCAGCTTAGGTGGTTGCCTCAAAAACTCTCATGAGGTTGCAGTAATCGAGGGCTTGACTGCACCTGGACAATGCACTTCCAAGATGACTCGTGCCTGACTATTGCCACTGGCTTCCTGGCTGTTGACAGACTCATTCCCTAGCCATATGGGTCTTTCCATAGAGATATTTGAATGAAAACTTAATTTTGGAAAAAAACTTCCAATGTGAATGGCCCAGGAACAGGAGGCCCCATGGTGCTGTTGATGCCCTCATCTCAGACAGAGCACACCATCACTCCTGCCATATCTTGTTTGTTAGAAGCAAACCACTAAATCCATACCCCCTCAACAAGAAGGAAGGAGCTGAGGCATCAAAGACCCATTTCTAAAACCACCACATTGACCATTACATTTCTAAAACCAATTCAATGCTCATACAAAGCACTATTTCACTCAAAAATATTTTCCTATAAGAATATTATTCTTCACTGCTTAAAAAGCATTGATGAAAGAAGCAACAGACCCACAAATTGTCCCAAGGCCTTCTGTGATGCAAAAAGGAGCCCTCTGGATTTCTGTGAATCAGAACTCAACCTCCATTTCTGACATTCTTTGCTTAGACTAGGCTGAATATGACTAAGTTTGTGGAAAATGTCTATGATCCTGAAGCAGAGGGAAAATGGCTATGTGGATGTTATGTCTGAGATCCATCTTCATGAATACCCCAGGCCTAGCAGAACAGACCAGTGCACAGATTAAACCCAGGGAGTAGCTGGTGCTCAAAGACAACACCAAGCCAGCCAGCTTCTATAAAAATACACCCACAGGAGGGGAGGTTTTCTTTGTCAGTTTTTCTATTCCCTTTTCTGTAGTTTCTTTCTTCCATTCTGTGGAGGCCTTTCCCCCATGGGATTCTCTGCTGTAAGGAGGCAGCCTCAAAGGAAACCTGCAGACCTCAGGCTCCTGTGCACTTAGGTCTGCAGTCAATAAGAGTTGCGATATAACACAAACGGGAGACAGACTTCCACAATAATCACCAAGACTGGTGAGATACGGTGGCGGGGGAAGGGCAGTGGGGGATAGGGTAGTGGATCAGGGAGCCTATGGGGAAGTCTGGAAGCCAGAGGAAGTGCTTAGCTGAGGTGTTAAAAAGTGATGAGGCACAGAAGTGATGTGAGTTTGAGACACCATCAGGCTATCATGTGGACAATAGTCTTCTAATAGACATTATAAAAGCCACAAATAATCTATATGGTAAAGCGGAAATGAAAAGAAATGGAAAAACCAGGAATCCTGAGTTACAATTTTGGCCTTACCATTTTCTTCACATGTGAAATTGAACTAAATTTTTTTTTCATGTTTCATGGATGGTGGATCTGCCCTGATCTAAATAACAAGTAAAATGTAGGAAGAAACGCATAGCAGAACCTACCTAAGCTGCATACCTACAGTGAAGGATACAACACTAGAAATGTCCTTCTAGACAAGCAGCAAAAAAACTGGACTTCAAGTTCCATGGCCTCCTAAGCATTCAGGGGATGGATGCACTTGTTAACCCTCAGGCAGAGCGCTGAGTGGAGGAAAATTCAACTCCCAACCAGTCCCATGGTTTCCTTCTCATTAAAAGACTTGATCTCCTTTGTGAATTTTATTTTGAAAACTTTTGGGAGAAAAAGCAGACCCTTGAATCTTACTGGCACACCTGGACTTAGCCATGACAGTAGGCACAGTGCTATGATTGCAGCCCAGGAGCTTGTGTTGTGTAAGAACTCAACAGCACTTACATAGGTAGATTAGAACTATGGGAATTGAGAAATGGGCTTTTCTAAAAGAAAATGCATACATGTCTGAGAGGAGGAAAGAAATTCTGGACCAGCAAAACAAATTCACACAGTTTAGGGGAAAACGTAAGAGTTTGCACAAAATAAAAATCTAAGGTTGGATCTGGAAATATGGCTCAGTGCTTAAGAGCACTGGCAACTCTTGCAGAGGACCTGGGTTCAGTTCCCAGCACCCACATAGCAGCTAACAACCATCTGTAATTCCAGTTCCAGGGGATTGGATACTCTCTTCTGGCCTCCTCTGGTTCCGCATGCACAGGATACACTTATGTTCATGCAGACAAAACATTCATACACATAAAATAAAAAATAACAAGATTAAACAATAAAAATAATAGCTTTTAAAAATTTCTTTCACAAGGTTTTGGAAATGAATACTCTCTTGTTGGTTAAAACTGAGAGTACTTCCTCCACCTGTGGAAGATGAAATAAATGCCCTGACAACTCATACACTAGACTGCTGTAATTCTTTGTGTAAACACACAGAGTTTAAACGATAAATGGGGTCAGAAATATCGTACAAGTTCTGCTTTCTAGGTATTCAAGGAGGTATGATTTGATGCTAGACAGAGCCAGTGTATAAGTTAGGAGACCAGTGCTACTTTCAGCAGTTTAAGTATGATCTGAGACTTCAGTTTTGTTATCTGAGAAATGGGGGTAATATGTTTGTACAAAGACTTCTTGGGTGCTTCCTAAGTTGTAGACATTGTTCTAGATGCTGGGGACATTAAAATGACCAAATGGGCAAAAATTCAGCCCTCAACCCCACAGAAGCTCCTGAAGATGAAACGGAATTTAATGTAAGACTCTTAGTTTAGTGCTGGGACCTGCTGCCTCCTCCCTACCTCTTTTAATAAATATTTTCCATCACTTCTAAAATTGATACTTTTAATTTGTTTAGCTCTTTAGTGTTATTATTTTAATAGTCAATAATTTCCTAAGCAAGAGCATACGTGATATAATTGAGGTATAAGTCAATGCTGACAAATTTTGTCCTGACTCATGGCAGTTTACAGCACAGTCTCTACTGCCTTTGTTCCTGCATTATCATCCAAAGAGCTGCCTAGGAACTCCCAAATGCAGTCTCATCTGACTTGTTCAAGGTATTCCTGGTATCTGTGGTTCACTTTCTAAGGCTAGATCTCGCTGTTCAGGACCCCAGACAGTTCTCACTTGACTTAACCCACAACGGGAAGCATAGCTTTGTTCTATCTGTAGTCAGATTCAGTGGGTGGAATTCTTATGTCTTGCTTAGTGCTTGAAGCTGGCGTGTGGAATGGCATGACTTCATATTTCCAGTTCCCTTCAAAGACCATATCTTTTAAACAACATTTTATTTATTATTTTATGTGTATGAGTATATGGCCTGCATGCAGTAAGTGCACCTGTGTTGTAAAATACCTGCAGAGGTCAGAAGAGGGCACAGGATCCCCTGGAACTGGAGTTACAGACGGTTGTTAGTTGCCATGTGGGTGCTGGGAATAGAACCTGGGTCCTCTGCAATGGCAGCCAGCACTCTTAACTGCTGAGCTGTATCTCCAGCCCCTTATTTCCATTTTTGACTGTGTGTATATGTAGAGGGATGGTGCACTTGAGTACAGTGCAGGCCAGAGGTCAGGAGAGCCCCTGGACCTGGATTACAGGCAGTTGTGAGATGCCTGATGTAGGTGCTTGAATCCACTGCAAGAGCAGTAAGCACTCTTTACAACTGAGCAATCTCTCCAGCCCCTACAATAGAAATCTGAACAGAACATTCATAAGCCTGAGTAGAAGTGATGAGGAGCTGGGTATAACTGGACTTGTATCCTATGCACTTCCTGAATATAAGTGGAATCCCAAAGTCAGATTGTCTAAAAGGGAAGGTAATTTTTCAGGATTGTAGATTCTCAAAAGGAAAATTCTACCAATACAAATTCCCCTAGATAACGTCCAAAGGATACGTGATCTATTTTTTAAATGCTGAGCTATGCCCCAATCATAAGCAATTGAAAGTCTGGCAATAAGTAAGGAGTGATAGCAGTTTGCCTCTGAGTAGTGGCTGAGGAATGGACAGACCCTTTCAGAGACACAGGCATGCAAAGACTGGATGGACACAGAGTGGCTAGGATTCTGAGACAAGCCCTGTTAGTCTCTGAGCCCACACAGAGCCAAGCAAAGTTCAGGCTGGATATTAGAGGGCATCAGAAAAAGAGGTTTGCTTGTTGAAACAAGGTCTCAGTATGTTGCTCAGGCTTACCTCACACTCTTGCATTCAACTGATCTTCTTGCCTCGGCTTCCCAGACCACATACCAGACAACAGAGCAAGACTTCAGGCAGACAAAGAGGACTGCTCAATTTTAGACAGAAATTCTGTGACTCTCAATCTCAAAATCTCTCAATCTCAAAATCTACATGCGATGTCCAGAACCCAGTGAAGAAATGCTATGAGTCACACAAAAATGCACTCACGCATTAAGACAGAAGGAAATCAGCAGAACCAAATTTGGTAAGAACCCAGCTGGTAGAAATGCCAAAAGTGAATTTTAAATAATAAATGACATGAAAATATCTAGGGGGAAATCTGGACATTATGTGTGAACAAATGAATTTGAAGGGAAAGAGAGAAAACAAGAAATAGAACCAAATGGAGATGCAAACAAAAAATACAGGTGAGCTGGTGAGTGTCTCCAACAATTTTGTGAACAGAGTGACTATATTAAAATATGTGAGCTTGAATATATAAAGTATCCAAATGGCAAACAAGAAGAAAAAACATTAAAAAATAACAAAACAAAGCACAAAAGTTCTTAGAACTATGAGAAATTACCAAAGGATCTAAAATATGTAAATTGAAAGCCCAAAAAAGCAGGACCAAGAGGAAGAATGAGGGAGAAAGAATATTTAAAGAATAGTAGAGGATAATTTTTCCCAAATTAAATTTAGTTATTTCAGGAGCTACAGCAATGGCTCAGTGGTTAAGAGCGCTGGTCACTCTTTCAGAGGACCTGGGTTCAGTTCCTGCACCCACATGACAGTTAACAACCATCGTAACTCCAGCTCCAAGAGATCTGATGCCTCCTTCTGACCTCCACAAGCATTGCATGGCACAGGTACACTCACATGCATGCAGGCAATACACTCATACACACAAAATTTTTTAATTAATAAAATATTAAAGAATGTAGGAAAGTGCGTACAGGTTATATGCAATCACTACTCTATTTTATATGAGAGGTTTGTGCATTCACAGAGTTTGATTTCCAACAGAGTCATAGAGCCAGTTCATGGATACCAAAGGCAACTCTCTGTGTGTGCATCTACTATACACCTATTTCTTCCTCAGGCTGGCCTCAAATATATATGGGATTAGGGTGTATGTACATACATATGTACATATGTATATAACAAAACTGTATCTCCATACTGGAGATAAAATTAAACCATAAAAATTCCTCAGGAAAAAAAAAAATGGGGCTGAAGAGATGAGTCAGGAGTTAAAAGCACTGACTGCCCTTGCAGAGGACCTGGGTTCAGTTCCCAGCACCACATGATGACTAACAACCTGAAACGCCAAATCAAGAGGATCTGACACCCCTTCTGGCCTCCACAGGCACTGCACATCAAGAGTGCACTTACACACATGAAGGCAAAACACTCATACACATAAAAGAAAAATTTTTTTAAATCTTTTTAAAGAGTCGGTTCGGAAACCCCCTCCCTCCCATCCTTCATGCTATTGATACATTTTGCTTCCATGTTATAAAACTCATGACACATTTTTGCATTCATCTAGTCTTTTCCATAAGAAGAAACTGTACTGAGTAACCAAACAGTACATGAAGAGAAGTATCTCTTTATTAAATTATTTTAACTAGGGTTGGAGAGATGACTCAGTGGTTAAGAGCACTGGCTGCTCTTGCAGAGGACGTAAGTTCTATTCCCACCACCCACATGGCAGCTAACAACCATCCATAACTCCAGTTCCAGGAGATCCGATGCCCTCTTCTGACTTCCACAGACATTGTACAACATGAGTGCACTTACATGTTTTTAAAAATTATTTTAATTGATAAGTAAAGAAAAATGTAACTATCTTACTACTCCCAATAAATTAAGGCTCTCACAAAATGATAAACAGCCAGGCATCACAATAGTTTATGAGAAAAGATCACACAACCACCTAGAGTCAGATTGAAAGTCACAAATCGGATAGCATCTTGCATCCACTGCCAGACTGTGCAGAACACATGCAGTCATGGGTAGAGCTTCTGGTAGATGTCTCAAGTTCAGTGAAGCCTGAGGAAAATAAGGGATGGCAAGGGCACTGTAAATTAGAGAGATGACAAACCACATTTAAATGGGCAAAACTAAAATACCGAGTCTGGGGATGTCAGAAGGAATGACTATGAAATTTGGCCAGCAGCTGCTCTGGAGAGACAGAGGGGTTTTGAGGCATGGCAGTACCACTGCCATGGAGGAGCTTTCAGGATGGATGTCAAAGTTCTGCTTCCTAACTTGTGTAAGCATTACAAAAGAACCCGCCTCATAAATAACTCCTTGTGCCATGTATTTGCTTTGTGTGGCTTTTATTACCTGTGCTTTAGTTCACAATAAGAAGGTTAAGAAAAAAAAAAATCAATGTGACCTCAAACGTCTGAGTTCAGACTGAAAAGAATTTACACATAAGTGAGAAGATGGAGGAGTGGGATAAAGTGCTAACAAAAGTCCCTAAAGAGGACTTAGAAAATTCAAAGAAAATGAAAACAAGAAAAAAGACTTACTACCTACAGTAAAAAGATTAATAATATGTTCCTATGACAACAGAAAGACCAGAACTGCTGTTTGCATCGAAAACCTGGGATCTCCCATTCTCTCACTCAGCATGGCTATCTTTGGTTCAAAGTCCAAGATTAGTGTTAAAACAAACAAACAAACAGAAAACACATTCAGTGATACAGAGATACTAGTATTCCCTGAGAAAGAGTGTGGAGTTGCATATTTAAACAAATCACATCCAGAGTGCAAGAGTGATGGAATCAAAGCAATGCTGTCTACCAGCTTTGAGAAGTCAAAGATAGGGGACTGGCCACTCTTTTCTTTGGAGTGACTGAATTCCATATCACTGAGTTAAATGGGAAATTGTGAAGATGTTTGAACCACTACTTACACCACGAAAATCACCACTAACATGTGTTGTATATGTGCATATGTACATATATAGAGATAGAGATTTTATATATATGTATATAGTAACTACACAAAATGCTACCTTTCAGAGAGCCAGACCATCACAAGTTTTTCCTAAAAACATTTTTATTCTTCCTGTTATAGCCATAGTATTTGATTTGGTATATGCTAAGCGGTGATATGAATATATAAGCTGTTGTTCTCTTCAAATGTTACATGCACAGTGCTATCAGTTTTCATTTTCTCTCATCTCTTGAAGTGCCTTGATAATTTCACAGGGTTGGCTAATGCCAGCATTTCTGGCTGTGATCATATTGAAATAAGTACTATTTATATTCTGGTCATGTAGAGCACTAGAAGACCTGATTTTCTGCCGTCACCTAGTTCTGTGACCCTGGCTGAAGAAGGCAAAGGGAAAGAATTTCGTTTTCCTGTCTGTAAAGCATAGATGCTGGATTATATCTAAGGGTCAACGTGGGTATTTTCACTTTAATAGAAGGCACTGGATTTTGAAGTCTTCTCATATTTCAAAAGAAATCTCTCACAGTGCCATTTCTGGTATCTTTTCAAAGTTTGTGACTGATACTTGGTAAGGAATATTTCATTTTCTTTCAGAGTTGAGCCTCAAGCCCAGACAAGTCACACCTCGGGCTCTTAACACAAGACAGCCACCGGTAGAGAACTTGAAGGAATCGTGGATATTATGACTCTGCCTTTCAAACCAACATGGAAAGCCTACATGTGTTTGCCTTTTTTTTTGGTCATTCATTAAACTGACAAAAAATGACAATTCCCAGGTGAGTACAGCCATGGCGAAGGTAGAGTGTCGTCTGCCATTGGTGGAAAAGCAAACTACTGACATTTGGCAGTATCTGTCAGAAGCCAAGCTGCCATGCCTTTCAGCTCAGCAATTCAGTGATAGGAATCAATCCATGTCAGAAGCTGGGTATGTACATAAGGTCATGCATGTGAGACAGATGAGATGGTGCTACACTTTGAACCTTGACTGTCTCACAAAGGCCTGTGCACTGAAGGTTTGGTCCCCATTCCACAGCACTCTTGGGAGTTAGTGGAATGTTGTAGAGGAAGAGCCTAGTAGAAGGAGATCAGGTCACTGGGGCATGTCCTTGAAGGGGATATTGGGACCCTGACTCTTTCTATCTCTCTCTTGATTCTCTGCTGCTGTGAGGTGAGAGTTCCCTCCACCATATCACTACACGCTTGAAGCAACAGGCCCAGTGGACCATGGACTGAAACTTCTGAAGCCATGAGCCAAAATAAGCTCTTTCCTTTATTAAGTTGATTTTCTCAGGAATTGTATTACAGTGATAGAAAGTCAACTAAGACAGATGGCCTTATTTGGAATAGCCAAAAACTGGAAACAACTCAGATACTCAAATGCCAATCAGATTGCTCGAATAAACTTTAGTATAAACATTTAAACCCCATTTTACCATTCATCATTAAAAAGAATGAGATCTATGTGTTGAGATGATATTTGTAGAAATTATTGTTATATAGAGTACAAGTTTGAAACAAAACGTGGAGTATGGTCCCCTCCACAAAACTCTAAATGTTTGGATAAGTATATATATATTTGTGTGTGTGTGTGTGTGTGTGTGTGTGTGTGTCTGTGTGTGTGCACAATATATGAGATAAATAGGAACAGGAACATTCCAGACCCCTGTGCACGGAAGCAGCCACAGACATGCACCTGTTAAATTTTCTACTGAAAGGAGCATAAGTGATGGATGGACTTCAGCTGCAGTGCTCTGAAACCCATCATTACATGAGTACCAAAGTCACCCCAGTCCCTGATCCAGCCAGTAGCTCAGCACAGTAGAGATAAAATGCAGGCCCATTTCTGGGAGGCACACAGCTCCTGAGAGGAGGCTTTGTCTCTAAGACTGCTCATGGGCCATTCTTAACTTTCCTAAAGCTGCATTACCTCTGAAATCTTCCTTCTTCTCCTTCCCAGAGCTTTGACCTACACACAACCCCAGGGTTCCTCTCTCCTCTAACTCAATCCTTGTCCATCAGAGACCACTGGATTATTCTGATACATGGCTAATCCTGATTGGAATGCACTTCTGGAAGCACCAAAGATTAATAC